CATATGAATTGAGGAAAATTGGTGTTCCCTCGATTGATTGACCTACTGATCGAAGGATACACATGTAGACAACATAATAAGATTAATTTTCCATCATGCGCTACTAGCAATAGGCCCTTATTAAACTAGATACTAGATAAGTCTAAAGTCAAGCACCACTGCCATAGCTTCGATCGATCAAGCCAGCAGTTGAAGTATATTGGTTTTCAGTAGAATTTTTCTGGGAAGATGTCAATTGATCCACATATGAATTGAGGCAAATTGGTGTTCCCTCGATCGATTGACCTACCGATCGATGGATACACATGTAGAGAACACAATAAGATTAATTTTCCATCATGCGCTACTAGCAATAGGCCCTCATCAAACTAAATACTAGATAAGTCTAAAGTCAAGAGTCTTGATAAAATATTGCTTCACGCAACTCTCACCAAATCTCTATACTTACCAAAAAAAAACTCACTAATCTTGAAATACATGCTGGTTACACCCAAATATCGCACTCTCAACATGTTGCCATATGGATTGATTGATGCATGTCTTGTGACAAAAGAGAACTCTCAATGCTCCCAACACTTTAAAAGTTCCTGGTACTTATGAGGGTGATGGTAAAGGCGCCGAAGCTCTAAAACACAAAACTAGTGCTACGGCCGCTAAGTGCTATTTACAAAATATTCCATATGGCTTAGGTCCAGTGACGGAGCCAGAAAATTTGTTAAGGAGGGGCACATTTTGTAATATTGGAAATCATAATATATATATATATATATAGTATAATGTCCATGCATATAACTTAATGTTTATGAGTATATATATATATATAGTGATATTTTTGGGCTTAAACTAATTATAGATATAGAATATAAGGATTAAGGAAACTATTTAAGAGGAAAAAAAAAAACATATATAGAATATTATAAGGGAAAGAGAAATTTCGCCCGCGGGGGGGGGGGGGGGGGGGGGGGGGTTGGCACTTTCTATATTTTTATGAAAAACATATATATTATAATAAAAATATATATAAAATATAGGAAGGGGAGAAAATTCAGGGGGGGCACGTGCCCCCTCTGGGCCTTAACTCCCTCCGTCCCTGCTTAGGTCATAAGGTGCCTAAAGACATGGATTTAACATCGGTATCTACACAATATAAGCAGTTGCCAAGATAAAAACAACTAAAGTTCAGCTTATAACCTAACCTACCAATTAAAGGGACCAAGCATCTAATGATAAAGGCGGGCACTGAGTTGCCATAAATAACTATGACGATTTAAAACCCCAAGAAGTTGAATGGTGGAAACAGAGTAGAGGTTGCCGAGATTGAGCAAAAAATTTAGCACCTAAACCATGAAAGGTGTCAAGCAACTAAAATTGGCAGATTATTAGGGTGTAGGCACCGAGGCGAGTAATTCAACATGTTTCAATCAGTGGCCGGGAAGGCATGGGTCTGACATTAGTACATAAACAAGTTAAGCAGTCACGAAGATAAGAACAACTAAATTTCAGCACATAACGTTACCTACAATGAAAGGGACCGATGGTTGACGGACCAAGCATCCAATGATAAAGAAAGGCACCGATTTGCCGTAAATAAGCATGTCACAATTTGGAAACCCCTAGAAATTGAATGTTGGAAAGAAAGGTGAAGGCACCGAGGCGTGTAATCTACTTCAATATGTTTCATTCAATAGCGAGAAACATGAGAATAATATCCAACACTTCGAAATCTTACAAGCATATGAAAAGAAGCATTGAAGAGAAAGGAAACCAGTAGTATGGTGGTGATAGATGAAATGTGGAAGCTTAAAATTGGAAATTAAGGCCACATACCAACGTCCCAAAGAATATAGAAGAATGGAGTGAAAACGTGGCTCACCTGAGGCTGATAGAAGTATATCCAATAGCCTCATTTAGCTTGACCGGTCTTAAATACTCAACTGTCCAAGGGTAGTCTCCTCAACCACTTTCAACCGTTCTCAACACTCAGGAGGGGGGGAGGGGGCTACAAATAAAGGAAGTCACACAAGAGAATGGGTCCAAGACCATTCCAACCAATCAGCACTTTCTTTGTAGTTTATTTAGCTTAATCACAGCCTTTAGCCATAGCCATAGTTATGAAAAGAAAGAATAGTGAGGCAAGGTTTAGAGACAATGACGGAAATTCTGATGAAGTCCTATTTCTTGTTTGAGAACAAAGATGAGGGCTAGGCTGCGATGGAGAAGCTTAAAAAATGAGAGACAAATAGTCAATGACAACGTAAGGGTTGTGTTGTGTAGTGACGATGGAACCAATGGCAGAAAATTCCATGACAATGGTATATGATGACGATTTGAGATGATGTTTAGACTTCAACGACTGGTTTTGCGACGTTGTTATTGTGATGGTGGCAAGATTCTGATGATAACAAATTTTGCATCGATTGGCGACAACATAGAGATGGAAATAACAACTGATGGTGCCAAGCGATACCGGCATGATCTGGCTTTGGGGTTGGATTTATCGTGCTGCCAGTGTAATAGTTTGGCGTTTGAAGGGATGATTGGGATGAGTCATTAGTGAATGGTGACATTGAACAGTGAGTGGTGTGGTTTAATGTGACTATACAGTGGTGTTTTGATGGGTTTCCAACAATGCTGGACAGCGAGGCTCTGTTAATTGTATATATCGCAATTGGACCCTGTTTGGTTGTGTGTTGATATGGTAATCCGCTCAAATTCAGCTTTTTCGGTGAATTGATATGAGATAATATTTAGAGTGTTTTTTTAAAATCAACAAGGGTTTAAGAATGAAATTTTCAGTGCATATTTAATTAATAAAATGATGTATTTTTCTTTTAATGTGATTATTACATATTTTTTTTACTTTTGTTCTCCCACTCTTTATAGCAGCTAGTAGATTTAGACAAATTTAATTCATAAAGAAAAACAAAGTGTATTTGTCCACTGACTAATCTTGCATTGGAGTAAAGGGTTTATTTGTCCACTAACTAAACTTTTAGTGTGACAGTTTCGTCATTCATATCAGACTTCAAGGTTAATTTAGACTTTTTCTAGTAGTTAAGGGCTATATAGGTCATTTCACTTGTGGCTGGGTGGCAATCTAAATAGCCCATTAACAGGAGGGGGCTGGTAGATATCATAAGCTAAACCTCAGGGGTCTTAGTGTAGGTTTTTGCAAAATTTGCATCTGCTAATAATTAGACCTTTCCTCAGAGGGTTTCAGTCTAATTTACCCTAAATTTTATTACTTAAAAATAAATTGTAGTTGTGCATCGATATAAAGATCATAAACAAGTTGCGCAAAGGAATCATAAAATTTAAATGGACAAAGGCATGGAGGCATACGAATAAGTTCAATTGACAGGCAAAGGAAAATATATATATATATTGATAATCTCAAATGAACAATTATAGGTAGACCAATTATACCCTCTTTTATTTTGTTCACGATTTTACAGTATCTTTCTCGACTTTTCTAAAATAAACAAATAAAAACTACTTAAAAAAAAAAACAATTATAAGTAGACCAATTGATCAAACTATTATAGGCAAACTCCGCAATAGGTAAAAATAGGTCCCAAATGTTCAGGTGCTCCCCTACAAGATACCTAACCAAATTTCCTATACCTTGCTTAACAACCTCAATTTTCCTATTAGTTTGAGGGAAAAATGCAAAAGAAAATTCTAAATTTGTTCAACTAGGAATTTTTTTTTTTTTTAATTTGTTTCTAAAAGTGTTCAAAGTGTCTTCCAAAAATTATTTTTATACTTCACATCCCTATTTGACACAATTGAAATTGTTAACCCATGAAGAGTATCAATCTCTATAATATTATCTTGAATGAATTCTTTTTGTCTAGATTCATCCACTTGCTATTTCAGTTCAAGACGTTCCCCAGGATGTACTGGATAATCTGGATTATGTGAAACATCAAATAAATGTGATCCTGGGACCAAGGCAATTGTGTGTTGATCATCACTCATGGGTGGCAATTTAGATAGGGGTTGTCCTCTGACTGTAATATCTTCAATTTCATCCATTTTAGCGACTTTATGAGGTGAAGAACACCTTGTTGGATGGGAAATGGGGAATTTCCACATTACTTCTTTTTCTTCTTTCATAAAATTTGTTTGTTATCTCCAGATTGAGGAAATGGAAAGATGTGGATAGTGCCATATTTGGGTCTAAACTCTTACCCCTAGATCAGAGGTTAATACTCCTTTGTTTATGGTGGGGTTTGTGGCACGAGAGAAATAGGAGGTCCTTTGATGGAGGTCAAATACAAATATATTGTCTTATTTATTCTTTTGGGTTAATGGGCAAAATTGTATATCTTTGGATATTCTTTTGGATTTTGAGGATAGCTTAAAGATGTAGGGTCACCGTAGGCGACCTTTGTTCCCTTGGGAGTGCTACCCTTTTGAGCAACTTTAATGAATTATTACTTATCAAAAACTAGTTGAGCATACTAGGGTCTGCCTTCTGTATATGTTTGGCTAATTACCAAATAATATATTGCAATCAGGTGATTTGGTTTTGATATTTTACGGAACTACCATTAGGATTTGAGTCGGAAAAGGGCGAGGGTCTTAGATAACCAAAAACATGGTCAAACAAAGTTGCAACCTATCAGCAGTAGGACTGCAAGCCTATGATGGATCTCAAAATGGTCACAAATTTTTTTTATTTTTTTTACATTAGCAATATTAGATAAAAATATGGTGTGATTGAAAAAAAGAGAAGAAAATGGATATACTCGAAAGTATTGTTGTTCCAAGACAATTCACTCTGTATTGAGAACAAGAACTATCTGGTTCTTTTTATTTTGGCAGATACTGGAGGAAGCTAATAGAGAAGTGCCCACCAAAGCATTTTAATTTTAGTTTTATATCCTCTACCTCCCAACGAGGAGGTTAAGATTTCAAGTCCGATTTGGGATTCTATGGATGTGTGAGTGTATTCTTACCTACCAGAACATACACACAAAGAAAAAAGAGCTTACCTGAAAGAAGGTAGAGTAAGTTCTGAAGAATCAACAGCAAGACCATGCTCCGAGGTACCAATCAGATGATCATATCCACCCTGAAAAATGAATTACTATGAATCCAATAGATTAAGCCCCTTCATATAAATTGATAAGAAAAAATCATGTACATACTTTTAAAAAGAAAAATAATTGCATTAAACAGTAAATACCTTATATGGGCAGTCCTTTAATACAGAACTGATATTGGAAGCATACCGTACTTTATAACCCCAATACATTCCCCCTTCTTCCATAGGCTTGGAAGATAAGACAATCTGGCGTGGTCGATCTACAAAATTGAAATATGGAACTGAACTTCATGAGTAGTACATTTTGCAATTTCATGCATGATGTACTACATCAGTTCAACAGGCTCAAATGCTTGATAAGTGTGTTAGAAGGAATCAAATTATTATACAGCAACAACAAAGTCCTTTTCCTAACTACATGGGGTCAGTTACATGAATCCCGTGTTACCATTTTGCTCTATCTAAGGCCATAGCTTTAGTCAATCCATATGCTATCATATCCTTTCTAACTAACTCTATCCATGATAACTTTGGTCTTCCTTTTCCCCTAGTATAACCCTCAATGTGGACTATGTCACTTTTCCTAACTAGTGCACTTAAAGGTCTTCTTTGCACATGTCCAAACCATCTCAACTGATTTTCGCTAATTTTATTTCCAATTTGTGCTTTATTAACAACAATCTACTCCAAAAGGTTAAGCTGTTAGAGAGGGTGTAACTTTAATATTTAAATCCTTCAACACGCCCCCTCACGTGTGGCCTTCTTTTTGGTCCAACGTGTGTTTTTCGAATTTTAATTAGGGTGACGGTGAGGTTTAAACTCGAGACATTTGGCTCTGATACCATATTAAAAACCATCTACTCCAAAAGCTTAAACTGTTAGAGAGGATGTAACTTTAATATTTAAATCCTTCAACATGCTTATTCAACCATCTCCTAAATGTCATCATTTCTAGTTCTAACCTTTCTAGTCTTACCATTACCTCACATCCATCTCAGCGTTTCCGCCACACTCAATTTTTGCATATGTTGCTTCCTAACTACCCAACATTTTGTGCCTCAAAGAATGGCTGGTCGAATAGTTGTTCGATAGAACTTCCTTTTCAATTGTAAGGGGATGCGCCTATCACACAATACTAGATGCACTCCTCCAGTTTATCCATCATGCCTTGATTCTACGATTAATGTCATTTCCAATGGCAAAATGTTCCAAGGCCTCTCTAATCCTATTTTATACTTGTAACCCCATTACTTCTCTAACTTCCTATTCTTCTTTCAAAAGTCTAAACTGGACATGCATCAGCTTTTACAAGGCCTAGATAACCACGAGTCCAAATTGGATTCAAACTAGCAGATACATCTCAATTTAGATGCAGTGAAAAGTGAAAACAGGTTCGACACAAGATTTTAGGTATGCAATATATTCACTACCTGCATCGAGATGTCGATTGGTTCCCATAGCTACAGTTACTCTTGTTCCAGGTTCAATTACTTGATCAATCACAACATTCTGCACAACATATAAATCAATTAAAACACAATCCAAGTCAAAGTACATGAGGACAAGATAAAACCAATAAAGAAAATTCTGGATGGATGAAACCAAAAATTATTGTTTAATTTTGTCATAACATCTCATTAGCAACTAAATGGTCAAGGAAGAGAGCAATAACAACGCACGCATTAATGTCGTGACACATATATGTATGCCTTAATGTTTTGTGCTTCCCCATCCATATCAATAAATTATATTTCCAATTTGGGTTGACTGTAAATCATTGGGTTGTCAGGACTAGGGATTCCCGGCCCACAAAAATGCAGCCTAATGGATGTCATGGGATCGTCAATAACTTGATGAGTAAAGAATGCTGCACCTGCACCAAACCAATTTCCTCATGCACAAATTTAAACCAATACGGAAGCAAACATGATAGCTGATTTGGCAGGGAGAACACATATAGAGGAGCCTGATTACAGGTCATGTGTCAGCCAATGGTATGATGGACAGAACACTGCACATGAACATGTCCACCCTCACTCTTGCCCTAACCCCAAAAAAATCACCATACACGCACGCACATACACACGCACATAGAGAGAGTTGAAAAAGCAATCCAGCTCCCCAAGGTGACAAGGTCAAGGCTAAACTATATATATTGAAAAAATAAAAACAAGTGGTAATCCATAACAGACATCAAATAATTGATTTCAACCACTCTAGAACTACTATCAGGTAACAAGATTCACATCCTGGATGTGCATAAGTTGGGTTTCAAGAATCATAACCTTGATTACAACCATATATCTAAAGGGTAAAACTCCGACGAAATTATCATCTATTTTTCATAGCTAGCTATTGCTGCATTATCACCCAGAGAGACTGGAGTAAATGGAAAAAGATTTTCCAGACACCTAGATGCCCTTTTTTTCTTCCTAGGCAAATGGAAAAATTATATTGATATGAACAATAGAGTACAAAGAAAAAGCAAATGCATCCCCTTGCATTACAAAGCTAGACAAAGCAACCCAAGGGATTGGCTCAAGTGGGTAAGTTACTTGGCCGTGGTGCCTCATGAAGCATTTGGTCTAAGGTTTGACTCCTCTTAAGTACAAAGAATTCCTTGAGAGAGAGAAGAGGGAGGGCGGGGGGGGGGGGGGGTGTTGGGTTTGGAAAGAAAAAAAAGCTAAACAAAGCAAAGCCACTTGAAATTGCCAATAACAGCAACTTAGTAACTAAAGAAATGTCAATAAAAGCTGTAGAAGTAACAAATACCGAGAAGACCAGCAGCACATGAATTCTAACACAAACAAGAGATATAATCCATGGACAGATCAGAAACGGTGAAAACCTCCCACCCAACCACCTTGGCAACCTCCTCTGGAGATCCACATCAACATTGAATTTCTTTTTCTAGGCATGGTAAAAGGATTCCTATTTTGAACATGAAAATATGTAGTACATTTTCCAGAAATGCTGTTTACTATCAATGACCACCAGATAGACATGAAACAAATTTAGCTTTGCAAACTTTGATAGAATGTGATTGCACCTTACTTAGCCCCACATCAACAAGTGTTTCCCCTGAGTTTAGAGCTTGCTCCTTTAGTGTGACACCTATAAAATGATGGCAAGATATACTAAGGTGTGACTTAGTAAAAGAAAAAATTGACATATAATTTAAAATGTAAAATCATATGAGTCACATATTTAGGAAATCCTAACAAATGTCCATAAAAGTAATGCCAACCCAAGTTCCAACATGACAACCTTCATCAATCATAAGGAGACAAAACAATAGCATTGGAAAGTAAGGATAAATATATTTGAGTTCCAAATATACATTTTCCAGGTATATCTTTGAACAGATTCCAAAGTCAAAAGGAGGAACAATGAAACTAGGATTTTTTATGTTTTTTTTGTTTTTTTGTCTGCATCAACTACATATGTCCCCTTATCCATTTTACATTGTGCATCTATCAACTCACCTTTCCAATCTTTGACCAATATTAGTTAAGGCACGCCTAGGCTAAAAAAAATTCCCTAGGCTCATCAAGTCTCAATTGAAGAGCCTAAACATACTCTAGAGTCTAGATAGGCCCTTTAAGTCAAGTGCACATAAAGATTTCAGGTGCACATTTTTAGTAGGCTCCCAGATTCAGGTAATCTTTGAATTTTTGAATGGCCATTAATCGACATACTCAATGTCATGTCACAACTACTTGATATAAAGATAAAGGGGATAAAAGTTGTATCAACTATTGTGGTATTAAATTAATGAGTCATAAGATGAAAATTTGGGAGAGGATATTTGGAAAAAAAACCTTTGACAACAATCTAAAAAGCCAATGGATGGGGATTATAATTGGTTTGGGGACTTGTTTAGTAGTTTGGGTTGATGGATTTTCTCAATTAGGGTGTGTTTGGGAAGGCTAGTGTTTAGGGTTTTGATGAATGGAGAATGGTTGTGATTGGTGGCGGTGTTTAGGGTTTCGGTTGGTTTGGTTTGGATAGAAAACGATGGGTTGACGATTCTGGGATGTGGCTGCAAAAGTTGGTGGTTTTGGGTGGATGATAGACACTATGAATTGTGGGTTTTCAGTATTCTGTTTGTGCATGAGAAGGGTTTTACAACTAGATGAATTTCGGACAATGAAGAATGCTTGGACCTTTCTCTCTGATACCAAAATTGATACAGGAATAGTAGGGTGCTTCGATACCAAAATTTAAGTAGAATAAGAGAGAGAATAAGTGAGGAGAGAAGAAGGGAGAAGAAGAATGAGGGGAGAAATATCAGTAATCACTCAATAATCATCAAAAAGTGATTTTCTCAACATATCAGCCCACATATATATAGGCATCAAGGAAAAACCATAATAAAATCCCACTACCAAAAATTTAAACCTTAAAATATCCTAAAATTAATATACTACTAAATAGTAATAATATGTAGACAGAAATTCCTAATTTTATCTTCCCCACGTCTCCAATAGTAGGTGCGGGTCATGTGTACTTCAAGTTCTCAGACCATGCCTGGTTCTCCTCACTATGTCCTTTTATTATTACATGTTTGAAATAGCATTTGATTTAGTTGATCTATATGCATACTAAAAGGTTTTATGCACATGGATTTAGTTGACCCTATAACATTAATATGGCAATTTCCAAACAGACCATTATCTAAAACCATTTAACAAACTTTTCAATGCATATTTTGAATTATTACAATCGTACTATAATTTAACTGAATGTATATACATATATATGTAAATTGAAAGGATATATGTAAATTTAATTTATCTAACCCACAAAATTAAAATGTTGAAAATTCCCCTACTTCTGAACATGACTAATCTGTGTTGCATATTATTTTTTTTTTTTTCTATTATAATTAAATTTAATATGCATATCTATTACATGCGTCTTAATGCACTCAAGCGCCAGCCTTACGGAAGTTATGGTGGCTTTGCACTTAAGACTTTAAAGACCGTAATGCCTCAATTCACCTTGAACCTTTACGAACTTGCTTTGAGCTGAAGAAACAAAAAGTTAAAATTTCATTTCATGCTATCATAGTAGAAAACCATAATCGACCATTCCATATTGGTGTCAACACTGTTTTACTTTCTTACAAGTCCAAGACATCTCCAATGGCACTTCAGCATCTTATTTTCAATGAGCATTCTCACATGATTTTATCTTTCATGACTTCAAACCTGATTTACTCCTAATCTAGACTATTCAAGTGTGATCTTATGTGTATAAATGTTCTCAATTACCAATGGACAAGTTAGGAACAGCAAGATTCCATCAGTCCCACAAAGGATAGATGGTTCTTTCAAGAAATAGGTCAATGTTAGTTTAAATTTCAATGACAAATGGACTACATAAGGGACTTAAAGGGCTACATTAAGTATTGCAGTGACCACAACAATGCAATTGAACTGAGGAAATCAAGAAATAGTGCACCTTCCCTATATGGAGCCCATTCATGCTTGCGCAAATGATGTGGGGCATCAAGTGGGGGTAATAGACCCTGCAAAAGTTAAGAAACAAACAACAATTAGTTTTCAAGAACTTCCGATCACAGAAAAGGAAATGAAACTAACTGTTAAATCCATATGAAATTGGATCCGCACCACAAACTTTAAGCTGTTATGTCTCGGAAAAAGACTCTTTCTCAGATATTGTGGTGTCTCTAGGTACCTCAAGATCCTTATAAGAAAAGCTGCACCACTTTCATTCCCATATGAATTGTCTGTTGTTGTAACACTTAATTCATCCACTGGTGTACTCCTGTTGTCGAATACAACAACCTGTTTATAAAAGGACAATGAAACACTCTTTTCCATAAGAAGGATGCCTTTAAACTTCTGTACTGGTCCTCAAAATATTAAGCCTCAAATTATATTAAATCATAAAGCCTCCTTCAATCAAATCAATTTATGTCAAAATTAGAATGCATTACAAAATACCATCTAGATCAATTACACATTTAAGAACAACAATAATCCAGCAGAACTAATCATCTAACCATACACATAGAATTAAAGGAGCCAAGTAAGATATGGACCTCATTTACTCGAAAAATGGTTGCAGCTCGGGCAATTTGACCTGCCAACTGAGAATAAAACAATAAAAAATAAAAAAAATAAAAACAGAGAAATGATTAAAAGATTGACGAACCCTCCGTTTGGTTGCCCAGAAAATAAGAGGAGGCAAAAGTAATTCTTGCATCTTACATTCTCTGTATTTTGAAATCCACAAAATACTCAACTAAACTAAGTCATGTAGGATTAATTATGCTAGAGATTTCAGTTTTTTTAGGATATCCAATCATCAAACAGTTAATAAACTAACTTCAAATTCGTTAAGTTTTCCTACATTTTCTGGACAACCAAACAGGGAAAAAAATTAAAGGAGTTTGCATCTAGCAAGAGGGTACTCTGGTGGCAAGTTCAAGGGACTGCGCGTTGTCAATGATTGAACCCGACACAGCTATGCTGACGGTGGGTTGATCATTCTTCTCCTTTGGTTCGATGTTGTTTTTCTCTTTCTCTCTCTTCTTTTTCTTCTTTTTCTTCCCATTAGAATCGCCATTGACGAGCTCCATTCCGTTTCCTGCTTTCTTCTCTTCCTCTGCTTGTGCCTGTATTTCCTCTTCCGATTCGTCTCTCCTTTTCTTCTTCGCCATCTCACTGTACGAGAACGAAACGAGAGAGTAAGGCTTTTTTTAGTAGAGTTGAAGTGCTTGTGCGCAACGATATGGAGGTTTTGCACAAAGGTTGGGCCTCTGTTACACTAATAAATGGGATTTCAATGCAGAAGCCCAAGGCCCAGAGTCCGGCCCACCCGTCTTCAACCGGGTACAAGCTTGGCGGCAGGCTCCGGAAGAAACTTGCCTGAAGATCCTCGGTATTGGTATCAGGCCCATGAGTCCGCCAGATTGTTGGTGTGGTTTGCCTAGCCCAACATTAGGGGTGCAAGTTGGGCCAGGCCAACCCGACACCAACTTGCCCCCAGGTAAGTCGGGCCAACTAGAACATAACTTAACCTCGGGTCAGGTGGGCCAACTGTTGCAACTTGTAGCAACCATTACAGGGAAAATTACTAAGAAATCAACAATCCCCAAACCAAGATAAAAATGATCGGGTTGGACGGGTTTTACCAAGATAAAAAAAATAAAAACTATGTCATAGATTAAAGGGTTAAGTGCAAAAAAAAAAAAAAAAAAAAAAAACCTTATATATAAGATTTGTACAGAAATAGTTCTTACTTTTTGAAAATGTGTATTTCAGTCCATAAAATTTAAAAAATATGCAAATAAGCCCGTCTGACCACTTTTTGATCAAAATTAACATAAAATAAATTCAAAAATCCTATTTTTGCTATTGAGTTAAGTGCAAAAGACCCACTCTACTATCGATATAGTGCAAAATAGTTTCTGTGTGGTATAAAACCCCCATATACTATCAATTTGGTGCAATTACCGCCCTGTTCGCATAAAAAGACATTAATACCCTCTAATATAAATGAAATAATATTAAAAAAAAAAAAAAAATAGGTAATGTAAAATTACCATTTTAGATAATTTATTCTTTTCTTTTTCCTTTTTTTTTTTTTTTTTTCCTTTGCATTTGGTTGATTGATTTGTAGGTCGTGGTGGTGGAGGGTTCAGAGGCGACCAAGGTGATGGAGGGAGAGGAAGAAGGGGCTTTGGAGGAGGAAGAAGCCTCGAAGGGCCCAGAGGTGGTGGCAATAGAGGTGATGGAGGGAGAGGAAGGGGCAGAGGCGACCGCGGTATAGGTGTTGGAGGGAGAGGAAGAAAGGGCATCGGATGAGGAAGAAACATTGGATGAGGTGGCGGCGGCTTTAAAAGCTGTGGTGGTGGTAGAGGTGATGGAGGTAGAGGAAGGGGCAGAGGAGGTCGCGGTGGACGTCGTGGTGGAATGAAGGGAGGGAGTAAAGTAGTGGTTGAGCCTTATAACCATCGCAAAGCCCTCATCGTTGCCGGACTGTACTTAGCCAACCCCACTAGCCTCTTCCTCAGAGGTGGCGGAACCACTCTCGTCTGGAACCACCTCATGAGGTTCACCGTCCACCGTCACATCATCGTAGAATAAGACCTCAACCTTTCATCGTCAACCAAACTCCGGCGGCAAGCTCTTATCCTTATCGGACACACCAACAGATCCAAACCCTTCTCATCAGTTGCCATCACCGATGACACATTAATGGCGTCCCGAGCTCGCCGTCCTTCACCATTGCCAACAGCCACTAACAGCTGGGATTGTGATGTGGCTTTGTTTGATGATACATTTAGTTAACTCAACAGATTGGCAATGAACTTTAGCTATGGGGTTGAATTGAATGCCCAGAATAAACATAATGGTGGTGGTGGTGGTGGGGTTGGGATGATGGTGGTGGTGGAGCATAGGAGAGATGGTAGAATAAGAAAAGAAAAAGGCGAAATAGGGTTTTTGAATTTATTTTATGTCAATTTTGACCAAAAAATTGTCAAAGGGACATTTTCAAAAAGTAGGGACTATTTCTGCACAAAACCTATATATCAGGGGAGTTTTTTGCACTAAACCCAAAAATTTATATTAGAGAGAGTATTAATGTCTTTTTATGCGAATAGGGGATAATTGCACCAAATTGATAGTGTAAGGGAGTTTTATACCATATAGGGACTGTTTTGTACTATATCGATAGTAGAAGGGGTTTTTTTGCACTTTAACCCTAGATTAAAATTACTTGCATAACTCTTTCAATTATACCTTTTGGTACTTTTGACTGCAAGAATAAATTATTTACATTTATTTAATTAAGCTGTAGAATTTTTTATGCTTATAAAATAAAAATCGTATATTTAAGAGAGAGGGAGGGAGCATAGATACATAAAGTATAAGAAATTAAGATACCAAAATATAATATAATGGGAGCTTATGAAAATAGTTCATAACTATAATAACTTTATGTGATTATGTTGAAACTAAAATCTTCGAATATAAAACAAATTATTGGTCCAAGTAACACAAAACCATATATTAACCAAATCATTAGTTCCTGCTTGATTAGAAGTTGCTCAAAATGCCTTTATGCAACACAAAAAAAGAACCCCCACCCTTGAATTGATGACAAAAAATAATAATAATATAGAAAATAAAATAAAAACGAAAGAGGAACAAATTAATAATATATATATATATATATATATATATATATATATATATATATATATATATCCTTGAATTAAAAAATAAAAAATAGCAAAATTTAATATAATGTGAGTTTATGAAATTCAACCGATCATGTTTAAAGTCGTGATAGCCGTGAACCCACCAAAACTCCCGAGTTAAGCGTGCTTATCCTAGAGTAGTACCAGGATGGGTAACCCCCTAGGAAGTCTCAAGTCTGTGGGAACCAAAAGTGAACAATATTGTGTCTGGCTAGGGAGGTAATCTAGTTACTTGGAAAAGTAAAAAGTAAACAGCTGTAGCACAATCTAGTGCTGAAGCTAAGTTAAGCGTGCTTAACCTGGAGTAATACTAGGATGGGTGACTCCCTAGGAAGTCTCTAGTCTGGGGGAACCAAAAGTGAACAATATTGTGTTTAGCTAGGAAGGTAATCTAGTTACGTGAAAAAGTAAGAAGCAAACAGCTGTAGCACAATCTAGTGCTAAAGCTAAGTATAGGAAGAACTCGGTATGTGAGTTCAAACTCTTCTTCCGCTATTTTGTGTTAATTGAGTAACTATCTATATTGCATCTAATACAGTGTTCCACAAAAAGGACTAAGCATATTGAAGTTAATCGTCACTTCATTCACAGGGACAGATCCACGTTGAAGGCAGTGGGGGCAATTACTCCAACTGAATATATATATATATATATATTTAATATTCTACATTTATAATTTGTTCATTTTCAGTAATATACCCATAAAATATTACATTTGCCCCCCTAAAATTACTATAAAAAAAATGCACTATTGTCCCACAAATTTCATTTTTACCCCCCTTACCTTACATCCTGGCTCCGTTCCTATTCATTCATGACAAAATATTGAGTGGGAACATTTCTACTTCATTTATGAAGTCTGAAGATCAGTTGGCTAATTTGTTCAGTAAGGCTCTTGGTCATAATCAGATGAAGGCTATTTGTTCTAAGTTGGAATTATATGATATATATTCTCTAGCTTGAAGGAAAGTGTTAAAATAACTATATTAGGGCACACTAGTAATTAGTTTACCCCACAAGGGTATTTTAGTTTTTTCATTATTTATGTACTCATGTATTTATATATAGAAAAGATATTAGAGTGGGGTGGATTTCTCTCCCTCACACAAAATTCCAAACAGTGTGTCTCCATATTCTTCTCTTTTCTTTGAACCCTAACTGATTCAAAAGTGAATAACTCATATATAACAACTCATGTGTTTGATGATGAACTGTTATCAATGTTTAATAACAATTTGTGATTTATAATAACTAATACAGAATGTGTGTTTCAATTAGTTACTTAGATAGAAAAAGAATATTAATGTTAAAAAAAGTAATAAATATATGAAAAACAATTGGCAATTTCTGAAAAAAAAAATGGAAGGATTGTTATGGAAAATTTAGTTATTAAACAATTGGTAATTTAAAAAATTATTATTGTTTTATTATTATTATTATTATTTTCTTTCTAATTCTAATATCCTATTCTATTAAGGTAATTTTTGAAAGAGTTTTAGAATTAATGTTAAAAATTAAATAATACACAAAAACAATTGATTATTTCTGAAATAAATTGGAAATCTAAATAGTAAGGCTGTGGAAATCTAAATAATTGAAAATCTACAAAATTAATACACAAAAAAAGAATTGGTTATGAGTATAGTTGAGGTAGGAGCCCATTAATACGTTATGGTTAGGAGGAATTCTAAATAAATAAATATATGAAAGAAAATTTGAAGGGTAGGAATTATAAAAATCCAATTGGTCTACGGTTGTGATTTATAGAGTATAGTTGAGGTAGGAGCCCGGCCATTAATAGGTTGTGGTTTGGAGGAACTCTAAATAAATCAATAAATGAAAAAACTTAAAATATGATTTTTTTTTTTACAAAGCAAGAAGGGTTAGAAGTTAGATTAGTAGGTGCAAAGAGTCGAAGTCTGGCACTCCCAAAATCTACCGAAGGCACTAACCACTGGCCATCAAGGCATTTGCAAAACTCAAAATATGATAGATGATGGAGTTTTATATCTTCCAAAAATCTTTTTTTAGTTGATACTCACACACTCCCTCCAAGAAAATTATTTACCCTTCGAACTTGAGACCTAATGCTTCATAAGGCATGAGGCACAAAAAAAAAAAAAAAATTAAAAACTCTTTTTAAAAAATAAATAAATAAATATATGATATAGAAACTAAAATAAATAAATAAAAATTCTTCCTAAAAAATAAGGTAGAGTTTTATAGAAACTCAAAATTAGATAGAAACTCGAAATTAATATATATATATATATATATAAGTAATATGTGATAGCGTTTTATATAAACTCTTTTAAAAAAAAATTTGAAAAAAAATAAAATTTAAAATTAACTAAAAATTAGATAGAAACTTAAAATTAAATAAAAATTAAAAATTGAATAAAAACTCTTTGTAGTAAAAAGTATTTTCATTGATTTTCTAGGTACTGGGAAATGGCGGAGCTAGCTAGTGTATGAAGTGCCCTTAGCCTGGCCCCGCCCACTATACAATAGAATTTTTT